GCTCCGCGTACTAAAGTTGTACTACAAAGTCGCCAGTTCTCAGCTTCCAGCTCCCCAGATGCTGTGCCTGCCACGAAATCTGCCCATTGGAGGTTCACAAAGTGCTGCGCCTGTCACGAAATCTGCACCTCGAGGCTCACAAAGTGCTGTGCCTGCCACGAAATCTGCACATGGAGGTTCACAAAGTGCTGCACCTGCCACGAAATCTGCACATGGAGGTTCACAAAGTGCTGTGCCTGCCAGGAAATCTGCACATGGAGCTTCACAAAGTGCTGCACCTGCCACGAAATCTGCACATGGAGGTTCACAAAGTGCTGCACCTGCCACGACATCTGCGCATGGAGGCTCACAAAGTGCTGCACCTGCCACGAAATCTGCACATGGAGGTTCACAAAGCGCTGCACCTGCCACGAAATCTGCACGTGCAGGTTCACAAAGTGCTGTGCCTGCTACGAAATCTGCACTTCAAGAAACAAGTGAAAACTCTAATCCCAATGGAGGGACGATTCCGACCATGCCCGAGAATGACTCCGAGAATGATCCGAGAATGACCCAAGACTGTCTCGCAACCGTCGTTCCGCAGACCTTGACTTGCCAGCTTCGGAGCCAGCGGTTCCATTGAAAAATACAGCATTTCGTGCGTTCGCTATCTCTCCACAACGCAATTTGTATTGCGCCTGCCACGAAATCTGCACATGGAGGTGCGCAAAGTGCTGTGCCTGCCACGAAATCTGCGCATGGAGGTTCACAAAGTGCTGCACCTGCCACGAAATCTGCACATGGAGGTTCGCAAAGTGCTGTGCCTGCCACGAAATCTGCACATGGAGGTTCACAAAGTGCTGCACCTGCCACGAAATCTGCACCTGGAGCTGGACTTGCCTGGAGCTTGAGCTGTTGAAACCAGAGCTAACTGGAGCTAGAGCTTTTGAAACTAAGAGCTTATTGGAGCTAGAGCTATTGACACTAGAGCCAACTGGAGGTAGAGCAAACTGGATGATAAGTAGTGTATGATGAGTGGTGTATGATGAGTGGTGTATGATGAGTGGTGTATGATGAGTGGTGTATGGTGAGTGGTGTATGATGAGTGGTGTATGATGAGTGGTGTATGATGACTGGTGTGTGATGAGTCGTGTATGATGAGTGGTGTATGATGAGTAGCGTATGATGAGTGGTGTATGATGGGTGGTGTATGATGAGTGGTGTATGATGAGTGGTGTATGATGGGTGGTGTATGATGAGTGGTGTATGATGAGTAGTGTATGATGAGTGGTGTATGATGAGTGGTGTATGATGAGTGGTGTATGATGAGTGATGTAAATGTTCGTAACACGGAAGTTCCTTCTAAACTTCCTTTGACGATGGTTTATCGATCTTTTGATGGGCTTATTTGAGTCGTGCCTGGCTTCTGAGGTCGTAGATCGGTTCGAAGAGGCTTCCTTCGCTGCTGGTTCCCCGACCCCTGCCTGCACAGCTTCTGTCCAAAGCCTTGCAGAATTGTAATGCGATTCGCTGCCCTTGAGGTTGCTGAACAATGGGCAGTGTGTGGGTGTTACATGGTTTGCAATGCTAAGGATCGTATCTGCTGGAGCTCCTGCCCAACTCCTCGTGGTTGTCGTTGGGCAGGCGTGAGTTGCACACTGTCAGAGGTTGCTGATTGGATAGATAGACATGCTTTGTTTGACAGGTGGCCGTGATGGGTGCAGATGCAGCAGCAGCGAGCACGCCTGAAGAGCTAGCCGCCAAGGCGAACCCCTTTTTTCCGCATCTCAATCCATGGGGGCGCATTCCGCATGACAAGTTCGCGAATTCTTCGATAAACATTTCTGGCACACTTGATTTGGAGACTAGAGACTAGCAACAGTGTTGCAGTGTTGCAAGCAGTGACTGTCGGTGTTGCCGGGAGTCCTTCAGCGTTTCAGTTCTGCCTGCAACTGCAGGCTGTGTCAGTTCTGAAGCCTGGCCAGCTGCATGGGGCGCAGTCACTACTGAACAACACACCCATGGAGTACAGGAGTGGATATGAGTGGATGGGTGGGAAAAGAGACAAATCATTGGGCACAGCAACTGCAGACTTCAGCATCGAAACGAAAGCTGTCTTCCCCAAATTCTCCATTCCTGTGTCATGTGTATATATATAATATAAGGCCTATATAGGGTGTCAGCTGAGGTGGATGGGATTGCAGACCATGCAGACAATATTAGACAATCAGATCTGAGCCACAGCAACCCATAGGTGAGACATCAAAGTGTTTCCTTCTGCGAGGCTGGTGGCGATGGAAAACACACAGCTCCACCGTGTATCCCATACCATGGTGTCACAAGTGCTTCAAGGCGATGAAGACTCCGCAAGAGAGTTCAGTGTTTCGATGAGAAGTGATATGTATATAGTAACCGATTGATTTGTAGATACCTGCAGGGGACCTTGGTGAGATTGTCAAGATGAACGAGATCAAGCGCGTTCTCGGTGACATTTTCCTATTTAAAAACCTGCAGAATGATCAGATGGCACCTTGAGTTGCAGTTGCTGAGGGGCAGCTTGAACATGTTTGAACTCTTTGGGCTGCCCATGGCTGCCGTTCTCCTTGGCCCAGGAGCGCGTGATTCGGAGCTTCGAAAAATGTGAGTATGCTTCTGGAGAAGTGGTGGTAAAGCAGGGGGCGCAGGCACAGTAAGACTTTTCGACGTGGCAAGAAAACGGAACGATACTGGGTTTCCTTTCGAGCTCACTTGAGTCATTGAGCAAGGTCGGCAAATTGTATTGCCTCTCGAGGCCAACCACTTTTACCTCATCCAAAGCGGTGCAATTGGTGTTTCTAGAGATGGGCAGCGACTTCGAGTGTTGCTGAAATGGGACTATTTCGGCGAGCGAGGTGGGCAGGGGCAGTGCGAGAGTCCATCTACGTAATGCAAAAAAGTTTTGATCCCCAACTGCAAGGCACACTGATATCAGAAGAGTTTTTCAAAAACTTAACATTCAAGAGGCTTTCTATGTCAGCATGCAAAAATGTAGAACACTATCCCGCCTGGCAGGGGTATTTTGTTCGTTTGGCCCGTTTGGTCACGTTTTCCAAGGAGAAGTCCACTTGTGAATGCCCTCAGGCTTGCTGCTGCAGGAGAACCGCTCTGCCACCTGTGAAGCTGACGAACCCTCCACTCTCCTTCGCCTCGAAAAGGCTGTCTTCGCAGTGCCTAGGTGACGACGCGATGGCGATGGGCTCATGCTGGATGATGGGCTCAGCTCAGTGCTGCATGTTTTATCCCTCCCCTTGGAAAACCACATGCTCTCGTGTATATAGATGTTTGCCTGAGAAGAAACTAAGAGCCGATGGCGTTGGCACCAAGAGGGCCGGTCCATCTTCATGGTGCAGTGATGGACAGCTTCCCTGGATGCGTGCTGGCATATGTGCATACGTACCCCCGCACTAGCATACCCTTGTGGTAATGTAGCAGTGTGTGTGTGTGTGTGTGTGCCATGACGCTACTTGTGATCAATGATCCATGCGCGTTATGACCGGGCTGATTCTCATGAACAGCGATCAGCGACAGTGAAAATGCAGCATGGCTGGGTTGGTTGGTTCCGCTGGCCTTCAATTGCAGTCTAGTGTAGGCAGTTTTATTCTGAAGCAGTTTCAGACATTTGCAATGCAAGAACAGTTCTCAACATGACTTTGCAGACAGTTTAGGTGATCGCAGTGCTCTAACAAGAACCGAGGATATCGTCGGCACTTTCAGAAAGGAATTGGAGCATCGCATGATGCTGCAAGACCTCAAGATTGTAGCTTGGCTTCAACCATGGACGCGGGCTGTAGGATCTCTCAAGTGGATATCGTGGCGGCAGATTTGCAACCCAAGGAAATGTCAGATCTCTATGTGAAGGCGGTTGTTGGTCGAGGATCTTTTGGATTGGTGAAGCTGGTGTTCCACAAGCGTGACAAGTGGCCTGGCTTGGTTTTCAAGTGTGAACGCAATTGTTGCAAGCACTCCAGGGTTCCAGAATGACAGCCAAGGCAAAAGTACTATGCCCTCAAGTGTATTGGAAAGAAGCAGGTTGTGCAGCAGAAGCAAGAAAAGTCAATGCTCCTGGAGCGTGAGATTAATGCGCAATGTTATCATCCGTGCATCATGCACTTCATCACAACTTTCCAGGCCAAGGGATGCACAAAGTTGGACGTTTGTAGGTGGCCTTGCCCATGAGAAGTGTTTATTTCTTTTTCAGTGGATGATGTGCCTTCTTGGCAGTTGGTCATTAAACAGGACAGCAAGAACGTCTATTTCTTGACGGAGCTTTTGGGAGGAGGTGACTTGTTCACAGCCATCCGCGAAATCGGCAATCTTAGCAAGCGACAGTCGCAGTGACGTGGCATCATGAGCAGTTGTATTTTTTTGTTATTGGCATCCGCTCCAGGGGAATGCTGGTGGATGACGCTATGAAATTGCTGACAGGGCTGGAATTCAATTGTGAGACATATATGACATTAATTATGAGCAACCACCTTGAAAGGGTTTACTAATACTAAGATAGTCTACGGCATGCTCTTATTGCTTGTGTATCAGAATTCGACGAGAGAGGGCCCCCACATAAACGAGATACTTGTGCTTGATGACACTAAAGTAGTCTGAACGAGATGCTGTGACATGACCTCCTACTTGAGTAGTCCAAACGAGATAGGGCCCCCACATAATAGATAGTGTATTTGAGTTTAGTACCAAATAAATGCCGCCGCACGTATAGTGGGTGGACCTTTTGCAGCAACACACTGCTCTTGCCACCCTCTTTTCTGAGGTTTTTCGGGGGTTGCATCACTTTGGCGTTAGAGTACTTGCATGCTCGGTCGATCATGTACCGGGACCTGAAGCCGGAGAACGTGGTGCTGGATTTCCGGGGAAATGCGAAGCTTGTTGACTTTGGATGCTGCAAAAAGTCTTTGCAGTCCAACACACTAGTTGGGACGCCGGAGTACTTTGCGCCTGAGAGCATCATTGGAAAAGGCCATGGTACTTTTGCACAATTGAAATTTGGGCACCGGAATGTAATGTTCAGATATGCTTTAGATTTTCCATTTTGTACTCAATTTTCAGCTCGATTTGGTTGACATATATATGTTGATTTCACGTGTGATGCAGTAACTAAGCACGAAGCTGACAGGTTACACGTGTGCTGTGGATTGGTGGGCGTTGGGAGCGCTTGGCTTAGACTCCTCTCCGCAAGTTCAATTGTCCTTAGATGCCTGAAATCTCTTAAAGTGTGCCGCATGCCCAACATACACACGTCCAAAAGCTGAGGTCATGATGCACGAGTTCATCGTGGGGCCACTCCCCTTTGGACTCTTGGCTCTACCCGCTTGCTATGGTCTTGTGCAGTTACTGTTGGGCGAGTCCTTTGAATGTACGCATCAATTTTTCTCCCTTTCTTCGGTTAGAGTCCGGTTGGAGTGCAAGTGATAGCCGAGTGGCAAATTGGAAATACCGCCCAGGCAGGGATTCTGATGATCAGTTGCAGCTGCTCAAGGAGATCATGGAGGCGCAAGGGCCGAGCCTTTGTGCTACTCAATCTACCTTACTTTACGAAGCTGCCAGAAGTGCAGCCTTGGAAGAATTGGGCAGAGTCCACGTGATAGGCACCGCTGGCATTTCCAAGCTATATCACGGACAAGACCGCAATTAGCGCCCTGGAGTTTTGGACCATTCCCAACATGGGACCCGTTTGAGTTGTGTTTGTGCAGTTGAAGAAGCCTTTCCCGCCATGTCTATGGGATTTGCAACACATGTATATACACGTAATTACATACAATTTACACAGTGTAATAGGTCCATATGTATATATATATATTTATATGTATACAGGATTGTTTAAACATATATGCATTATATGTATATGTCCGACGAAAAGCCTTTGCAGAATGTCTCAGGTTTGATCTCGCAGCTCTTGGAGCGAACCCCTGAGCTGCGCTTGTGTGCTTCCTCTCATGGAGCCAAGGTGGGCTGTTTTCTTCATCGGGTGCTGATGCATTTGCCCGGGTCTTTTCTGACAATCCTTGTGCTTTGGCGCCGAGGACCTTCAAGAGCATCCGTACTTTTCAGGCCGGGAGCAGTTGCCGTTCCCAATGCGGTGTTCTGCTCCAGATCTTTCAGTCAAGGCTTCAATTGGAACAGCCTTGCTGGTCAGTCCCTCCAAGCACCTTGGTTACCAGACCGGCGGAAGATTCAGGAAGCGACGGGCTGTGACAAACACTGCATTTTTGTTGCCAGCTTAGAGCTGTTAAATGAAATGCTGCGTCGCCAGGAGGGATGGGAAATTCCTCCAGATGCTGGAAAGCCGGTTTGCCCTGAACAGGGGGACCCTGACAGTCTTCTGGAAGATCCTGCCATGGATCTTTGGTGGAAAAGTGCGCATACCAATAGATTGAAAGCCCTCAGTTCCAAAAACCAACCACTAGAACGGTGAGTCACGCATTCTATGCACGTTGTGGTAGGTCTCCTTTGAGCTCTGCGTGTATTCTTGCAGGTGCTGTTTGCTTGCACTTGCAGGCGCAACAGCTCGAATCAGCTAAGGAATGGGCCAAGGCCTTCTGAGAGAATATCGTGAAAGTGCACAATTAAAAACCACCACACTTCTCCTAATCGTCAGCGTTTGCCCTGACTTCACGTTCCAAAGCATGTGTCACTCAACGCTTATTGCGCATGGCGCAAGCAATTCAAGACGACATCCCAGAGCATTCGTTCTGGGACAAAGCGGAGTTGCTTTGGAATCAGCTTCGTCCACCCCACCACAGTTGCCCTCAAGAAAAGATGCAGCAAGGACTCCTTGGGAGTTGATGCTGGATGCACTAGTTGTCAGAAGAGACGAAGCTTTCGTGGCAGTCAGCTGCCAAGCAGCAAGTGAGGCACTGCTCAGCCTTGCGATTGCCCGGATGTACATTTGAGGCATCTCTGGTAGGAGACAGTAAGCTTTGTCCCCTGCACGTGCCGCGGCTAGGAAATGTTTGGAGTTGCTTCTCACCCTGCTTCCCCTGAACCTATATTCCGACCTTGTTTTGCTGCGTGAAGGTTGAGCAGTGAGCCCAGCACAACTTCCGCTGCTATCAAGATCAAAGTTGTTGCGCAGCTCTGTTTGCAAGGGTTCAGGTTTTCTCAAATACGGTGCAGCAGCCAGAAGAGGCCACGAAGTTGGATAGTCATATTCGATCATACTTGAGTTTGCACCATCAAGAGGAGGATTGACTGTCGCCATTCAGGATATGTACATATTTATGTACATACCGGTAATTTGAATCATCTATGTAGATGAAAAGTAATGCTACTGCAACAACTGAGATGCACACTTGACTTCTCGTAGGTGCAGATGGCGCGGCTGCTTCCTATGTTTTGCCGGTCGGGCCCGAAGTAGCTGTTCTGCCGGAGGCGATACGGGGTTACTCACAAGCCAGCATGCACATGGAGCAATCTTCATTGGCATGTGTGCACCTTGTCTGCTCCCGCTTCAAGCTCCTCCAAGAGGCACTTAAGTTCCATTTACTGTAATTAGCACTGCCCAACCGCAACCAGACTTGGACAGGCCTAGATACACACGCACATTTACAGGGACACTCATTGTTACAAACAGATTTCTCAGGGCACTGACAGAGCTTTTTTGGTGCGATGACTCAGTGGTGAAAAGGTAGACGCAGTAGATCTAGGCCGAATCTAGGCCTGAGTTCTGAGCCCATGCGAAGAGAGCCTTCTGCCTTTACTTGGCTTCGCCGCAATTTGACTGAGACAGTGACCCCACGAGGGAGACTGAGACCGAACCTCTACCGTCTTGATGCGGCTTGGTCATTTTGATGCGAAATGCACGAGGGTAGGTGTGGTGAAATGGTTGAACCTCGCACTTCATGAGACTATTTGGGCTTGCCAGATTAACCTATGATAGATGTAGGGTGGAGAAGTTGGAAGATGGGGACAGACTGGGCTTGTTGTGCCTCTAGCTTAAGCTTTTTGACCGTTCAAAGTGGCCTTTGGTCTTTCATGGCCTTTCTGGCTGGGTGGGGTTCATTGGCCTGCCTTTGGCGTGCTTTCGCCCCGTCGTTTCAGGTAAAGGATTGGATCCTCTTTGAGCCGTCGACTGCACACCTGCAGAAGAAGCATGAAATCTTCCAGTCGCCATCGCGCGACAAGCATTTGATTCAGTCTAAAGGTTGCCTGGGACCACAACACGAAGTGTTAGAGCTTTTGCTGGATTATTTGCCACAACGCTATCCAGAGAATTTCCAGGTTGCTGCTGTTCCATCTCTTGGCTCCAAATATGGACCTGATACCACAATCACGTTGCATGCAGCAGATTGGCAGATGGAGTACCGCGTTGGGGACTTTGCGCATTTTCCTTTGGAACTGGCCTCCAGGCAAAGCCGGGGAAATTGTACATTGTAGCGAAAGATGAAACTGTGAAGCTGTATTCCAACATAGTCCAACTATATACTATATAGGTCAAATTGCAAACTCGGCTACGACTAGACCATGTCATGAGATTCTTTTGGATGCCACAAGTTGACAAGACAGAATGGGTTGGTCAAGCTCGCCAAGTCCCAGCCGGCCCCTTCTCGAGGCTTGTTTTGGAGGATTTGGTGATCGTCGAGGATGGGACGGTCGTTGCGGGATCTGTGCTTTTCAGTTTCACACGCTTCCATGAACGCTTTGGAATGAACATGGAGCAGATACACAGCAAGGTGCCTCAATACCAAAATGATTTGGAGAAGCCTGTTGCAAAAGTTTTTGCCACGTTGAGGGACGATCGCCCTATGTGGCGGAGCAACTGGAACGTGAGCTGGAGTGACGACATCATGGCAGGCTACAGCCGCTACCCTCATCGCAATCAAGGCATATCAACAGCTGAAAGAAACTTACTGTTTGAAGAACTAAAATACAAGATTGGCCAGAAAGGCCTAGCTGAATCCGCATGGCTAAAGGTTGAATACCAAACATTGAGACGACTATGCCATCATCCTTCCTCAGTTCTTTTTACCATCAGAACTTTCATAAACTCTTTCCAAGAACTGGAGAGCGAGCCGTTGGCGGCTAAAGCCCTTTTGCAGAATATGGACCGACTGCAGCACACAGAGTTCAAAAAATACATAGGAATTGACGATGTGGATTTGTTCCAGACTCTGAGAAGCTTCGTGCAAGATGCCTGTGTAGAATGAAGTCATTAAGTAGATGCCGGGGATATTTGATCTCCGGGGCTAATTAATCCTCTTAGCCTCTCAGCCCAATTGGGGTTCAGGAAATTGACTAGAAGACCAGCAAATGAAAAGAGTGATTGCAGCGGATGCATTGCAGGACGACTTGGGGAAGCAACATCAGGAAGATACATGAAGATACATGGCTCCGGTGACTTTACACCCCAACTAATTTCATGACTGTGAGTTTTTGGGTTGCATCCCTTTTGCCAAGTTGTCCTGCTGCAGGGTGTCAAACATGTGACGGTGGTACTGCCGAAAGGGATATATATATATAGTTATATATACATACATATACATATAATATATGTATATATGTATATCAACGTGAACCTGGAGGTCATTGCTGCGCATCATACGCTATCCTCGGCATTTGTGGCCCAAGAAGCGTGCTGCATGTTCAACTAGATCTCGGCGGAAAAGATGCCAACACCTGGTGATTCGGGCATGGCAAAGAATGTTCAATTGACACCGCAGTTCTTCTTAGAAGTTCTGGATGCGAAGTTTGCTAAGCAGGAAGCTTTGATTCGTGAGTTGCTGGAACATAAGCCGCATTCGTGGCATTCAAACGCTAACCAACTCTGCTTTGAGCAGCCCAAAGAGCAAGTAGTGGAAGTGAGTGATTTCGATTCGCCCGATGAAGAATCGAAGCTGGAATCTCACATGGACACATCAGCGCATGCTGTGAGCAAGGTCACGCGTGCAGGCAGATTGGGACTTCAAGTCATGAGCGAGAAGTTAGAACCAGACCCTCCAATGAAGGCCTTTGTGAAAGGACCGCTTGACGGCTACATGGGCATCGTCGTCCTCGTAAATTTGATTTTCATGATTCTGGAGACGCAATGGACTGCCGCAAATGCGGACAGTATGCTCAATGTTGGACCACCGCCAGAATGGGGCATTGGTGAAACATTCTTCCAGGTTGCTGAATACGTTTTCTTTTCTACTTATGCCATTGATGTGCTCGTTCGGATTATCATATTGCGATCTGAATGGTACTATGACAAGAGGGAAGGCATAATGTTTCTGAATGTTTTTGATGCATGCGTCGTAGCTGTGAACGCGGTTGAGCTGCTGCTTCTACCGCTGTGCCAGCCTTAGTTGGGATTGCAGAAGCTTTAATTGTGCCATGTGCCCAAAAATGTAGAGGATTTTGGCGATGATTGGGGCAGGCCGCACTCCAACAGCTGAGGCTAGTGCTTGGAAGCGACCCGGATCAAGTGAACAGCATTCGGGTCATCAAGCTTTTTCGCATTGCGCGTACTTTGCGTATTGTGAAGACAGTGCCCTGGACTGCAAACCAAAAAAGAGGATAAAGAAGGCACGTTCTTTGGTTTAGCAGGCTTTTTTGGAATAGGCCCTTACACTTACCTTCTTTGTTCTCATTCTTCCACAACCAACAGACATCGGTGCAGAGACCCTTATTCTTCTGGCTGGTGTGACATACAGGTATATACAAGTAGAGCAGATGTTTTGCCGTTGAGGCCAGGTTTTGATCTTGCCTGAGTTAAAGAGTAAATGAAAGGGTACTTGCTCCTAATAGCTACTTGTTCCTAGTAGCGATGCTAGGAGCCCCTAGTAGCGTCCTTGCTCCCAGTAGGAAGGCCAGGAGCCCCTAGTAGCTACTTGTTCCTAGAACGATATCATCCTTGCAGTATATATAGTTATTTTATATTTTCCTTGCAGAAGCAGGGCAGGATTTGTTCAGTCAACAGCATCACGAGCGTTTTCTTAACTATCCCATGAAGGATCACGTTTACCTTCAGAAGAGGGAGTCGCCACCGGTTCTTACAACAGTTATGCTTGTAGAGTTGTGCGCTTAGAGCCTGCGAGGTGTGGCACTCAACGCTGTTGCATTGTCAAACGCTGAGGTTCAGCTATTTCGGCAGCTCCGGCTTTTAGTGGGGACCTGCATTGCCAGTATTGGTGCTCTTTTTTGGTCTATGATCTTGCTGATGGTGATGAAGGTAGGCTTTGCATTGATTATTTGCCAAGCCTTGCAGGGTGTAGTGATGGACCCAGGCACCGAAGAGAGCACTCGTATCGAAGTCAACCGCTTGTATGGTAGCTTTCTAAAAGCTCTGTACACGATGTTTGAGATAACGCACAGTGGCAGTTGGCCAGCTGTTGTGAGACCTATCGTGGAACAGGTTGATGCATGGTATGCCGTCCTTTTTCTCGCATACATCACACTGGTGGTGTTTGCAGTTATTAGAATAGTGACGGCTCTTTTCTTGAAGGAGACACTAGCAAGTGCAGCAAATGACGCCGACATGGTGATGGAAGACAATCGACGCTCTGCAGTCGAAGCAAACATGAAGTTGCAAGAACTTTTTCATGCAGCTGATGATGACGGAGATGGGCACCTTTCGCCTGACGAATTTGTCCAAGCCCTTACCCTTCCCAGTGTGCAAGGGTTTTTGCAGTCAATGGAGGTAAACATTAGAGATACCGGACCTCTTTTCGAGATTTTGGATGATGGTGATGGCCGCATCACAATCGCCGAGTTTTGCAAAGGGCTAATGCAGCTCAAGGGGCAGGCCCGAGCTTTGGACATCATTGTGCTGCAGCATGAGCTGGCCAAGCTCTTTCGCGAATGTAAAGAAATCCATCAAGATCTTCGACGGACTCTCACCCCTCTTTCTTCTCCGAAACGCACCTCCTAAAGGGAGTGTGCTGAATAAGACCGTGAACATGCTAGGAAAACGGACAAATCGGCACACGATGGCTATGAAACAATATCGATTTATATATATATATATTTATTAAACAAACACATATATTTGTATTGTACTTTACTAGTTAGTGTGTCCGTATGTATTGTATGGCATCTATATAGATAACAACATCAACTGCAATGTTTGAACAGCCAAGGTGGAACATGGTTGCCCCCGTTCGCCGTGGTCTGAGTTGCTGGACGACACATGACTTTTCTGTGCCAGATTTGGCTTTGAACAGCTTGCATTGGTTTGCGCATTGCTTACATCGCTCGTTATCCCACATGTTTGCTCAAGATCAGGGAGTCAGTCTAGCGAGCTTGGTGCATAGTTTATTGCGAGATGTGGGCCTCAAAGGAGGTCGATAAGACTGAGCTTCAGGCATGGCTCTTGGATGTTCTGAATGCAAAATTTGCAGAGCAAGAAGCAGTCATCAGAAGTATCCTGCAGCAACCCCAACACCTCAGAATTTCGAGTCAGCTACTGTCAAGGGATGTGAGTGGGGCCGGAACCAACTCCTTTGCGCTCAGTGAGGCTTCGGACTTGTTCGCGTTACCTCTGAGCAGTGATGAGGCTAACGTGGATACGCCAACAACCCCTCCCATTCCCAAGGTCAAGTCGGGCAAAAATTTGGGCAAACACATCATGGCTGAGAAGCTGGCACCAGATCCACCCTTCAAGGTTTTCATCAAGAGATCGATGGATTCCTACATGAGTGTGGTGGTGATAATCAATCTCATTTTCATTGCAGCAATGACCGAGTACCAGGCCGCTGAGGCAGATTATGCCCTTGGACTATTGGAGCAGACCTGGAATGGTGTGTCTGACTTGACTTTTGAGGTTGCGGAGTACATTTTCTTCAGCATTTACTTTTGGATGTAGGGCTGCGGATCGTGATCCTTCGAAAGGAATGGTACTTTGACCGAATTGAAGGATGGATGTACCTTAACATGTTTGATGCAGTGCTGGTTGCGATCAACGCATTTGAACTTCTTGCGCTCCCAGTGCCAGACCCTTAGACATCGCAATAAGTTACTGTAAAGTATGGTGAAAGTACATGTTGGTTCCTGATTCCTGGTTTACCTGTTGCGTGCTTTGACAAAGGTTGCTAGGAGATCAGCAGCAGAATGCCACCCCGATCAGAGTGATCAAGCTGGTGCGGATTGTGCGCACCTTGCGGATTTTCAAAACTGCTTCTCGGCGCAATCAGTTCCTCGCGCTGTTTCTGATCGACCACTTGGTGTCTTGCCGCTATGGTTGTAGTTGTAGACTCTAAATGGCTAGCATAATGGGGGTTTGCGCATCCTTGCAAGCGCAAACAACACAGAATACGGATTGCACATTGGTAATGAAGGCATGCCACCAGATTTGGCATATTAATTACTTACCTGCTTCTCAAGCACCAACCCGGCACAACGGCAACTCTTTGTTTTCCCAGCCATTGGCCCATCATCCTGTTTCTATGTGTAGGCAAATGCCATGTACTGTGTATGAGAGATACTTTGGGATGGGGTCCGCCGCAAACTTGAATGAACACCTGATTCAATCCGTGGTAGTGTCAGTGTATGATGCGGGTCTTCTGTCCCTCGTCCGAGTCTAGTTAGAAGATGTTAGAAGATCCAGGTTGGTGTATTCCCGCAACCTGGAAGCCGCTGGAAGCCCCGTAAACATGTTAATGCACATTTGAAGAGATGCAGTTATAGTTATATATATATATAAAAAGACCAAAGGATGGCATGCAATGTTGGAAATCCTGAAATCAGCGAGGTGAACAGGACAGTGATAGTAGTGGTGTACCGTGAATTTGGTGCCGTTTTTTTGGTTTAATGGGTCAAGAGAAGTGGCTCAAAACCCTGATATGTTTAGGGAATTTGCAGCCAAAATTGCAGGGAACATGCAGTTGTCGCCGTGTTTTACACGTTTTCAACATTTTGGACCTGTTCTTGCATGCATGTGGTTGTGGAACCTGCCACGGCCATGCACAGGCACATAAGCTTGGAATGCTGGTTTGTGATGCCAAGGGTTTATATACGGCTATTTTTTGGGCAGCTTGCTGAGACTTTTGGAGGACAAGGGCAAAATTGCCACGATTGGAAGAAAGGGAAAAGGCCACGACTCGAAAGCATACACATGACATGCCTAGAGAGTGTCCAGAAGCCTGTATAGTAATAGGCACATCTCTAGGCCCTGGGCTCAGTCAGAGAGGTTTTAGGAGCGACATGCGCAAAATGGCGTGGGAAGGTTGTGTACCTGGAATGCCTTGTGAATGGGACGCGAAGCGGAGAAGGCAGGGTATATAAAAGCCAAGGGAGGGGAAAGAGTGGAACATACAAGAAGATGGGAGGGCAATGCTAACGAGAAGGAGAAGACAAAACAGAACAAAAGGAAAGCAGTGGAAAAGAATGGATAGGAATGGGAAGGAGAAACATACAAGCATGGAAGGGGATAGGGTTGATTTTGACTGCTCAAAGGCATAAGTGACATGAGTGACACGCGTAGATCGTGTCCAGGAGCTTTTCTGAGGCAAATGCCGAGGAACATGGCAAGGACAAGTCGTAAATTTGGAATGCCCACAACAGACATATTCAAGAAGGTTGATGAGAATGAAGGGGGGAGGTAGAGGCTTGGGACAGAAAGGACGGGGAAGGACACCAAAAGGGCAAGGAAGAAAGAACACAAAGGAAAGGAGAGGAAAGCACAGGGAAAGAAGCGACGGGAACGGGGAAGGAAGCACGCAAGACTGGCAGGGACAAGGGTACCCTCGGCCAAAGGAACAAATCATACTTTCTGAATTGTGTCCAGGAGCTTGCTTTTTGGGGAACTGGTGGGGAACATGGAAAAGGAGGAATTTGGGTACTTCGCATGCATTACAAGAACCACAGTTTCACAGCAGGAGTGCAGAAAGGCCACGGCTCGAATTGTGCATCAACATGTCTAGACCGTGTCCAGGAGCCTCTTGGATGGAAATGAGGAATCGTGCAAGGGACAAATTAGACTTAGAATGCCACACAGCAGACATCATGTCAGAGAAGGCGGGGGATAGAAATCCAATGGAGGGGAAAGAGTGGAACATGCAGGAAGATGGGAGGGAAAGGCGCAAGACGGAAAGTGAAGGAAAGGCGAGGAGAAAAGAGAGGACAAAGCAGAACAAAGGACAGGAGTGTGGTTTGCCATCCTCAAGCTGGAAGGAGACATGCCGTGTGATATTTTTTACTAGTTGCACCACAACTCAAACTTTGAATACCTGTTCTAATTTCTGTTTACAGTAGTATACTAAAAATGCTCCCAAACGACATTTTCCGTGTACTTTTGGGGCATTCCACGTTTCAATGCTGGAATTTGGAAAAAGCAAGAGCTTCTACTTGTAACTTTCAGTTATGGAATGTACACCGGCTCCACCGAGCTACAGCAAGTCACTAGGATACTGTTTTATACACAGGACCTATGAACATAAAAGGACAAAGTAATCCAAAAAGGGCGCGGTATAGCCTTTTTACACTTCTGGATTGAACAATGTATGTATATGTATAGCTGTTTTCACCTGACATGTAGCTGTTGATATTGCCGGGAGGTACTCTTGCCCACACTTGGCGTATGCACAGTTGTCCTGCTTGAGCATTCATGGCTTGGTCTTTTTGGAAGTCTACATGTGGGTTTCATTTGGGATCCGCTATTGTGTCATCAAATCGAAGACTTGAGCCCTTTTCTGTGCAGATCAGTAGGGGTGTTCCGGTCTGCTCGTAGTATTCTGATTCCACGTCCTGGTTATTTTTGTAAAATTATTTCAGCGTACAAGAGTTTTGTTCCTGGTCATGCTGCAGTTTTGTCAACACGATCTTGCATACAATGCTTGCCGACCTAGAAACAGACACCGAGACGACCACCAATGCAAGTTTGGGCTTCCATTATTGTGACATCTTTGATGTTTGACAAATCTTATGTAAACCACTTGGGCTATCTCTGATGGTTTTGCCAAATAATAAAAGCAAAGAAAAGCAACTACAAAAAGCACAAGAAAAAAAAAAAAAAAAAAAAAAAAAAAAAAAAACAGATGAAGAAGCAACAGCCCAAAAAAGCAGATCCCAAAAGCAAAAAACGGCAATTAAAAAGCAAAAAGCGAAAAAACAGCGACACACAAAGTGGAAAAAAACACATAAAAAAGCATCTATGTTCCAATACCTCTTTATATAATGAGAGGGTCAACATGTGTTTTAAATTGTTATATATACAAAAGAGGGTCACTACGTTGATACGTTGATTTTATAGAGAAACCTTCCTGGCGTAGGATTTTATAGAGTAATCATTAGTGATGGTAAATACGAGTGACGTTATAGCAAACAATTGTGGACACACATTGTGGCATGCAGTTGCGCACAGCTTGGAAACGCAAGGGTTCATGATGGAGGCTTGCTGGTGTTATCTGATGTTGAATGTGGTGTCAGGACGGTGAATTTCATAGACATCACACCCTCTTCATGCCAGTTAGCTTGATGGTATCAAACCGCATCAATTTATAAGACGTTTGAGGGTCAGCACATTCATGTTATAGAGCTGGCTCATTGTATCAACGCATTGGGGGTCACACCGCGCCGTTTTATATCTATAAAATCTCAATCAGGACCCCCTACCCCATTTTGTAACATGGATGAGAAAGCAAAAAGCGAAACAAAAAAAGCACATGAAATAGCAAAAAGCGAAAACAAAGCGAACCAAAAAGCGAAAAAAACGGCAAAAGCGAACCAAAAGAGCAAAAAACGGCAAGTGAAAAAAGACAGTGAAAAAAAGCGAGACACATGCGAAAAAGAAAGGGGAAACATGCTGGCAAGCAAAAAAGCGAAACAAAACACAAAAAGCGGACAAAAACGAGAAACAAAAGCAAACACAAAGCAAAAAACAAGCGGGAAAACACACAGAAAATTGCTTTCGCTTTTTGGATTGTTTTTTAAGCG